CACGCACACGCACACGCACACAAAAGCACTGTGTCTGAATAAACCATGGCTGCAATCCGGAAACACGTCAGCATGAGAGCATAAGGTAGGATTACTTTTGGGTTAAAATGTCAACACACACAGACACAAACACAACTCTTTGTAACCATTTAAAAAAGGTTTCATTGAGTATGAAAGTGGTTATTTTATCTCACACCTATTGACAAAGCTTTGATTAAAAGCCTCTCATACAGTTTACACTAAGACACACCTTGGTCTTTATCATCATGTGAAATACTGTTTGAAAGCAGTGCACAAACATCTGTCAATCTTGCTAGAGAGGAACAAACTTTGTGTGGAGCTACAGTTTGATAATGCTTGTTGTTATCAGAGAGGCTGACGAGTCAAGGTTGTGATTCATACTCACTGTGAAGAGTTCGGAAGTCGATGCACAGGTATGGGTGGGAGCTTCTTCGTTCCGGTTCAAATCCAACCTGACTTCTCACTCTCACATCTCCTAGAAGAAATTAGCACTTATTTCCTCAAGATTCATGCTGCTTGAAAAGAAATGTGTCTGAATGTGCTAGGCCAAGCAGTATTTACAAATGTTTTTGATTATATACACTGGAATTTATTTTGCGTAAGTGCCACAAGGATGGGCTTTATCACATGACAATGAACAGAGAACTTCCATAAGACAATCACAAATGTATGTCGAATTACCAACACAGTGGAAATCCTGTCCTCTTTTAAGCAAATCTCTATAACACTAGTCACAGCCAGACAATGTTAAGTGTTCATCACAGAGGACTTCTTTCATCTGTCCTAAGAAACTGAAACTGATTGTGGTTTTCTGCAAATATTCTTAGAAAGAGGAAAATGTACAACTCTCTATTATTCCCCTCACTTAATGTAACTGCTATTTTTGCTTAAAATATTATTTCTGATTTATAAATTGTATTTAGTTGCTTTTGTGTTTGTTACTATCCTGTGTGATATTCCACACTAAATGCTTTTATTGTGAAATACTTTGCAACTTTTGAAGTGCCATATGAATAAATATTTTCTTACCTACAACACCAATGTACAGCTTAGTGAAATTTGATTAACTTTTTGTTTTATTATTATTAACTTTTTTATTTGACCTTCAACTGCAACAGATTAAATCCAATTACATTCCACTTTTAATATTGAACATTTTAACCCAGAATTCCCGGAATTGTGCTAATTACCTTCTCCCATAAATCCAAAATCCCTGGACATTCCCATACAACATGTGCAAAAGAGCCAAAGGTTCCCTGGGGACAAAATGAGCAATGTGGGTCCGTGGTTAATCCCATTTGATGTCTAATTCTAGGTGTTAGATATGCTCTGTGACGAATTTCAGTGTATATATGATTATTAGGTTTTTGAGCTCAATAACATTGTCCTAAATGTCTTCCTCTAATTTGCACCGAATCTGATAAATCTCTCTCCCAGGCTTTCGATTCCTGCTTGGGCATATATTTCTGAAATTCAGCTTATCAATAAATGTATGAACTCGTACATCCGAAGCATTCTTATCCATTCCAAGATGGGTGTCTTTAATTCTGCCCCCAGGAACCCGATAGGCGATAGTGGTGACATTTGTACCACACATTTTTAACTTAAAAATTTTCGGCTGCTCTAAACACTGAAGCACGATACAGAAATGACCAAATACAAACACTCTTTTTGGAAGAGTTATACTACAAGAAAGAAAATCTGCAACTAGTTGGTGCTATTTAAATACTGCTCTTTACCTATTAACCTTTTTATAAAACTAGGACCAATAGACAAAATGGATGGAACAATGGATTTTCAGCAACATATCTCTTGATTTAGCCACAAAATTCAGCCGAAGCCCATGGGAGCTGCGGTTGTTGAATAGATTAAAAACAAAAAATGTTCTGATCAATATGGAAGTGGATAGCATTACTTAGCTCGAAACTCAGCATCAATTTCAGTTTCATAACAAATCAGGAAATAATCATCCTTATATTAAGATAAGATAAGATAATATATTCCTTTTTATTTGTCCCACAATGGGGAAATTCCGGTGTTAAGCACTAAACATAAACGCAGAACCTATGTCAAAATGCTACGTAAGCCCATCATTTGTAACTCCAGCAAACTCAACAAGCAAAAAAAGATTGGTTTATGTAAATACTATTTGATCCTCGTATAAACTATCTATGTGCGGCACAGTCAGCACAAACACACCACTCACATGTCCCCAATGAAAAGAAAATTCAATGGAACAGACAGTCAATCAACAAGCAGCAATGCCATGTCAGGACAGTCTGCTCTACTATTAGTACTCAGAGACACTGAGAGTGGCCTATAGTCCATCTAGGACTGTTTTTAGTACTCAGGCAGAGGATCAGGAACAGGCTCCAGACTTGGACCAAACAGACGGCGGCCGGCCTGCTTGTAGACTGCAGTCAGGAGCAGTGAGAGCGTAGTGAGGTGACAGGATGGTGCTATGACACTGATGCAGTAAAATGCTAGTGTGTCGTTCCAGGCAACACTCTATATGCGGCAAGACGCTATATGGCAGTATACTCGTCAAGGTGCTAAACAGTGCAATGGTATGTTTCCAGCATGGCACTTCTGATTGTGTCGTATGTGCATTAGAATTAAAATCAAAGCATCACACAGGTGTGTTCCCCCAACCAGCATGTTACTTACTTGCAAACAGCTGTTTGAATACTACACAAGCTCCTATCAAAATACCAAAAACTAAGAATTACAATTCAAGGCATAATGATGCTCAACATTATTTTGAAAAGCTGTTTGTAAAGTTGTTGGTATGAATGTGGAAAGTGAAACCATTTCAGTGGCATTTCACGTGCAAAACATAAATTATGACCAAAAAGACACTACAATTCATGCACTCCTAGGCAGTGAGTGAGTGAGAGAGTGTGTGTGTGTGCCACAGTATTACACATCTGGTCAATTCAGATGCATGTGCTGGGGCCAGCAACGTTGTGTTGTGGTGTGTGGTGTGTGTGTGTGCTTGTGTGATTAGTGTGTTTTGAGAGTCACAGGGTCCATGTTTCCCCTGCGGTGCATTAGTGCTGGTGCTCTGGGGTGGATGTAGGTCATGTCATTATAACTGATGCGGCGAAAGCTCTGAGTCCTGCTATTTGAAAGCACATCAGCATTAACTTGGCAGACTGAACCCTGGCCCAGGCAAACACCAGCCTGCATTAGTGTGCCTCTCCTCACACTCAATTTAATATAAAATCTACAGACACAGATGCTTTATGCCGGTGACGTGTAAGACTGCCATCATACTTAGCCAAGTAAAATGATTAAACAGCTAAAGCTCCTTCAGTCAGCTCAATAAATTGCTGTTAGTGTGAGTACACGCACGTGGCAGCAGTCGACTCATGGGCATTATCAAGCTGGAGAGAAACAAAGTATAGTAATATTATGTGAATGCTACAATAAACAGGATTTCAACAAAGACATTCAGTAAGCCCTAAACTGCCCCTGCTGTTTAATGCTCCCTGCCTACTCACTATGCTTCACAGCAGCAATCTAATATCTATGAACGACACTGACAGGATAACACTGTGAGCAATTCTAGTTTCATTCTGCTCACTGCCAGCCAAACCGCATCTGATCTATGAGTTAAAGTGGCAAAAGTTGCTTGCAAGGGCACATCTGTGTGTGGTAGACTGATGTCAGGGGTACACACAGGCTGTAATCGCACCATTATCCCCAATAACCTTATTGATTAGAAAGCCAAGGCTGATCTGGCTGCTTCCAGATGCTTTTGACTCCATCTGCCTGGCAGAGCTATGAGCCTTCTGTCCTCTCATCCATTTTATAAACTGCTTATCCTGTTTAGGGCAAATGGACACACACACACAACCACACACGTGCAGTATGTACACACAGACACATGTACATAAACACAAAAACACACTCTCCCAAAGAACCCTTAGTCGGTTTAAGGACACAAACCTGATCAAACAACAGACCATTCAACATTATATCTAAACTACATCTATTCTGATTGAGAGCTTACCAAAAGGCCAGGGATTGAGTGGACATGCACTCTAGTGCATCCCCATCTTTTTATAATCTCTACATCTCTACATCCCTCTCTCCATTTCTGATCTGTCCATTTTCCATCTCATTGCTTTTTAAGCCATTGTGTATTACGAAATGAAAATGATCACGGGATATATAAAACTACTGATGTCGTGGAAAATGTGTGTATATACTGAAAATGAGTGTGTGTGTGTGTGTGTGTGTGTGTGTGCGAGAGTGGGGAAACACTTACCTAGCATACGGATGTACAGTGCTGTCTGGTCGGAGCTGTCGTAGGAGATGGCCCCTCGTCTCTGAACAGACAAAAAGAAACATCATCAACAAGTTGTCTAAATTTAAACCAGTATAATGTTTCAATTATATAATTGCATTGACACCGGCGGTTGTTATGCCCAAAATTCATGTGGGCGGTAACAAAACCCCATCTCCGCAAACACACACCTCAGAAACACAAAATTAAGGCAATTTTTTAAACTTATACACAGAGTGAGAGAGATAAGTGGAGGGTAGTATCGCGTTGCTAATGTTGGTTCTAATCTGCTGTGTGCGTGCGTGTGTGTGTGTGTGTGTGTGTGTGTGTGTGTGTAAACATGTTCTAGCTCCATATCATCAGCCTGATACGGCACTTACACCACTGCTATCAGTCATGTGAGAAACACACGTGCTATGTCTACACACACACACGCAGTGTTTCCCATAAATAGAAAATTATTTTAGGTCCGATCCAAATAGATTTGCACCCACCCAATACATTTACTGTGATATTTTGACTTCCCTTTAAAAGTCACCCTCAAAATATAGTTGAAAATGCAGAAAGATATAAACAAAAAATGACTTCCCTAATATGACGTCAGCAGCTGACTGCAATTTGAATGAATTTGAATTTGTATTCAAATTGACTTTAGCGGAACTGATAACCAGGACTGCTGCAGACCACCAACCATTGACAAGTCAACACCATTCCTCAATAACAGAATATTTGATAATTTAATGTTTTAACAAACTATTAATTAAAAACATTCTGGATAGCATCTTTAACTTTATATTTTCTTCTTTCCTTGTGAGATCAATCTAATAATTTAAACTTAACATTTATGGCAGACATTTTCTAAGAAAAAGCTTCAATGGACTTGTCCACCAAGTTTAGCATCCATCTGCTAACTGTTTGCTCAATAAAAGTTGATGTTAATGTAGATTTGGATATTTAATTAAGATTTTTCCAAATGAACACAAAAAGACAAAGAACCGCTTTAACGTTGGGCAAAAACTGAGTAACCATGTCTTGTGTATCTTGTTGAGGTGAGCGACTTTGAAGTTGGCGCAGGACACATGAATGTGAGAACATTTCAGTAATCCGGTTGGAACATTTTTACATGTTGCCCAACCCTAATCTGTACTATGCTGGTGTACCATTTTTACTGCTTACACCATCTACCCCTGAGCACTACATGTAAAGAGATTAGACCTACCATTCTGATAACACAGTAACTGCTTTTAAAAATACTTTTCCACCTTCGGTACAGTTTTACAACAAATACATAAAATCACATCAAGTCAAACCAGACCACCAAACATTTTCTTCAGGATTTTGGAGCCTACTGACCTAGTGCTAAACAATGTTGTATTTGGTTTGAATAGGGGTGCTTTGGTTGACCTCAGAAGGATAACAAGTTGACAAAATACAGATTACATATACAGAGTAAGTTTTCTGTTTAATCTTTACTTTTGTATGCAACACCATCCAGTGCCAACAGTATCCCTCACCAGGAGGCAGCTGCAGCACAGAGTCTCAAGCACAGTGGTAGTTGTAGCAGGTATGACTGTGGTAACTGCATATTTGCTCTGTCGACAGACAGCTGCTCCAGGCTACACCGAGGTGTTGGCTCACCTCTCTATGCACTCCACACATCCTAGTTCCCAGCCCCTCCCCTCTAGACTCACTCTCCCTTCTGGGGCTACCCTCATCTAGGGTTACCCATTCCACGCGGAGTCTGCATGACTGGCCGGTTGGGTCACTGACGGACTCCGTCTATATTCTCGGACCATTTATTGACATCCATCAACTGGACACACCACAAACACAAATGTACATACTTGTACACTCATTACTTCATATACTTAGGATTATTGTCAATCTCCTTCACACACACATACACACCTGACACTGTCTGTCCTCTAAGCTCATGACAGCCGCCAATCCAAAGCTAATATTTTACCGGCTAGCAAACAGCTTGACTCAGGGTGGGTAATCTGCAAAGCTGTATTTTAGTGTCAACACGCCTCTGTGTTTACACACAGCACCAGTGGTTAGTGTGAATATTATACATTGTGTGTATCTAGCATAGGCTGTGTGTGTATGTACATGTGAGTGTGTAAGGGGGCTGGTATCGGCTGTAACATGCGTGGGAACTGTATAATACTGGCTCTAGGGCTGGGAATGGAAGAGTGACCAGCCCTGCCAACACTTGCCCAAACAAACCTTTTGGCCAGAGCTTGCTGCAAACTCACACACACACACACACACACTCATACAGGGCCAGCCACCAGTTGGCACTTAAGTAGACACTGGCATGTGCTCCCTTGTGAGCTGGTAAGAAGGAGGCGGCAGTGCAAACAGTTTGTCAATGTCACATTCCCACTGTGAACGGAGGGGAAAGTCACGTTTTACCCTTGAAATGGCCAGCCCACAACTCACACCCTGGCCACGCCTTGCAGGGCCAACTGCCAACACACACAAAACCATAGTGGTCCTGTCATGGTGCGACATGAACTTGAGCCCTTTTGTAAGCTCTGTGTTTTTGGCATTCATGCTTCACAGCTGAGGGTGATGGGAAATAAGGGAGAGTGAGAGTGATGCAGAATGTCAAAGGCAGGACTTTAAGTGTTATTCATTTCTTAAAATCAACTATGCACTTTGTCCCTCTTTGCACACACTTATCACAAACTTCAATCATATGAAACATTAGGAATGTAGTCCAGCAGTGGTTAATCTTCTTTTTGAAATGCCTGTTCATGTAAGCACCCTGCCTGCTCTAAAAGTTTCTCAGTGTATTTTACATGTTAGCATCACTTAGCATCAGAACTTGGAGGGTAAAATGATGTTATATTCTAAAAGTCACAAGCCTGTTTTGGATTTTTTAAAACCAGCATATTGTGCTCATTTGTATTTGTGTTGCATGCTCAGAAGACGAGATTATTACATTTTTATTAAGGCTAAACAGAGACCGACAAAACGTATGCATGACAAGTTGATGCCACAGCAAAGTGACCATCTCAGTTTTTGTTTTATGTTTGACTTTACTTGTATAGCACCTTTCTAGTCTTCTGACCACTCAAAGCTTTTTTTACACTACATGCCACATTCGCCCTTTCACACACATTCACACAGTGATGGCAAAGCCCATCGAACATAAACTAACTTATTCATTAACATTCACACACCAATGCACAGCATTGGGAGCAATTTAGGGTTCAGTATCTTGCTTAAGGTTACTTCGACATGTGGTGGCAGGAGCCAGGGATCGAACCAACAATCTTCCGATTAGTGGACCTACCTATGAGCCACATACTTCATGCAAGAAACTAGGAAGAGCTCGAGACTTTTTACAGCCAGTTAACAATAAAGTCCTTCTGCAGGCCAGATAGATGCTGGATAGGTTTAACTATGACGCAGCTGCAGGAGGTAGTGACTTGCTAACTGCATTTTTTGTTGTGCAGTTTTGTAAAGTAAGTGAACTGTTGTTAGATAAAGACGTGCTGACAACAAGCCCAGCTGAGATGAATCTCAACCCTCCAACTGGAAACATGGGCGGTACAGTCCCCATATCATGGGTTCTGATCATGGTTGCTCACAGGTGTGTCACAGCAAAGGTATCTATCTTAATGGTAATCTGCCAGTTGTTCAAAGGCTGAATGAAGACAAACAATAAGATACGTAATCTGAGTCATCATATTTGGGTTTCTTGGAGGATGTTTGGGTTTAGGCCTTAACCACTGACATTGTCAATTCTAAGAGCCACAGAAATGTCCTAACTGCCGATCAGCTGGATGGAGCCGAGCAGAGATGAACAGGGAGTAAAAACAAATAGGTTGACCCCTCTGTTAATCAAGCAAATACACTGAATCAAGCCTTATAATTCCCTTTCTAGTCTTCTCACCCCTCAAAGCTCTTTTACACTACATGCCACATTCACTCTTTCACACACATTCACACAGTGATGGCAAATCTAACAGAAACTAAATAATTCATTCACATTCACACACACAGTCTTGGTACCAGTGTCTAGTGGCCATTTAGAGAAATTGCATCTTTAGGGACTTGTGCTTTGACCTCACTGCTGAGCCATACTGGTTGCCACTTTGCATCTGACCCACAGCCTCTGGCATCAAGGCAGGGCTGTGATTAAAATGTATACCAACCCGTTGGCCT